TTCATTGAAGCGGACTGATTACAAAAGCCGACTTATAAATTCTAGGAATCAATGGAATGCGTTATGATAAAATTACCACTTACAAGTTATGAACACAAGATCATTATAAAACAAATGGACTAAGTGATTATATCAGTAAAGAGAATCAATGGGAAAATGTTCAGAAATCGCCTGTCCAATTCAATTGATAAGGTATGAAGACCTAGATGGTGTGGCCTTTTGTGTGGTCGCAGTCTTCTTTCGTTGTATAGAAGTTGTTTGACCTTGTTTTCGCAACTCGGTCATATTGTTAGGAAGACTTAGAGGAGCGCACCTTGTCCGGAGTCCATTGTCTGCATGATAATTTCCAAATTTGAACCGTGGACGTGGTACATTCGCTCAAAGGAGCACACAACACTATATCTAAGTAAACACGGTAAAAATTGTAATAGTGAAAGCATGATAGTATAATACCGGACACAGAGTAGGACCGTGGACATGGTACATTTCCAACCCACAAACGTTGTGGTTTAACATTGAACCAAATCAAAACAAGCTGCACCCAGGGCAGAAGGGGAGATACCACAAATGTTTAGCACACGTTTGGTCAAAGGATCGGCTTCACTTGTCTTTTGACGAGTTGGTAAATGGTGCTAAGAATGGCGAGACTCACTGATGATGCCAGCGAAACGTCCGGGAATGTACCACAACCACGGTCCTACTCTAGAAATGATGTTGCATACAATGAACTCCGGACAAGGTGCGTTCATCTAAATCATCCTAACAATATGACCAAGTTGCGAAAGCAAGGTCAACCAGCTTTAATTGATAAGGTTATTTATTTTGCGGATAAAGTGAATCTATTTATGAAAGAAATCATTTGAGCTTGTATATTGAGGCAAATTCACACCGTTTTAAAGATCCAGCAATGTTGTCACGATGGCAATCATAAAATAAAAATGGAGCAGCCAATGTGGAACAGAAATGAGGCTACTGGGCTGTAAAAAGATAAAAGGAGAATGCAACCGTACATAGCCACTTCTCGAATATTGTATACACGAGCAAAAATAAAAGTATACTCACGAGTATTAAAATTAGATACAGATGTTGTTGGTGGTTTATATCTTGAACCTGGAAGAATCTTTCGTCTCACTGTTAAACGTTCCCAGGAAGGAAGCTTGACTAGTGAAAGGCTTCCATGCCCAGCGTGCACATGGGGAGCAAGCTCATAATCAGATTTAGCCGAACTCGAAATATTGGACTCATTAAATATGTGAATGAGTTCTATGTTAACAATGGCGATTCGGCTATTCACGAAGCGTGGATCAAATGCAAACACAATGTTAGCCGAACGATGTGCCAAAGCTCGCGGTGCATTCTCGTAGTGCATCGGCAACCAAGGAATATGCGATGTAGGTGCGCCGATCGATGTAGAAATATTGTTGAATGAAGGCCGTGCATTCGTCCATTCCCGAGAGAGATGATCTGAAAAGATTGGTAAAGTTTCATTTAATGAAAATGAAGAAGAGAGCGGAAACAGTCCATGCTGAACGACAAGGGTTGGGTGATGTAGCACTGGACCAGGAGGAATATGATGAGATTGAGATGTTAAAGGATGAAGAGGAGCTCGGAAATTTGGATTAGGAAAGCTTGCTGACGAAGAACTGAAGACTGGAAGCTCGGAAATAATTTCTCGAATCCGAAGGTTGTAGATCTATAATAATAAAGCATTAATAAATATTCTACCAATTTAGAAATATGGAGCCTTATTTTTTTTAAAAACAATTATTATTTAAAAATAAATTAATATTTAGATGGTATAAAAGATTGGAGAAAAAAATAATATATGCTCAGTATACAAACAATGGTGATTCAGCACGTTGTCTACCAATAGCTGAGCTAAAGTAACGTGTCAGTAAAACAAAAACAATCGTATAAAGGGTTGGAGCCGAACAAAGTTAGCCTTATTAGATCATTTCGTCGAATGTCGCATTATCATAGCTGAACGATGAGTTGACTATAATTCACCCTCGCCTTCGAAGCATGATCTTCGAAACCGAATAATGCCTACACTTCCATTTTTGGGGCGTTAAACTCTGGGCCATCGGCAAGCAACCAAGGCGATGTGCACTTCAGTTTTAGCTTAATTTAACTGTTACTTTAACTCATGCAGTTAAGAGGTCCACTGTCACTCTCCCAGTAACGGGCTTCATCACTCAATAATTTTTGGTGACAATATATATATATATGTATATATATACTCTATATCTGGCCTCTGATGAGGTATAAAAAGATTTGGTGCATTACGATCCTACGTCTCTGCATGTGTATGTACCTGTTTGTGTTCGCTTATGCACGAAACCAGCAGTGATGGCTCAAAGTAATTAGGATAGGAAAAGTAGCGCCTGTTCTCGGCCATCAAGTTGTGATGACCACTATCTCCCTCTTTCTACATTCATGTTATAACCATCACTCTGAATGCGCAAGGTCGGACACACGTCTGGTTATGTTGATGAGCCTTTTTGTTTTTGGTCTTCCTGCGAGATAGAAAGAGTGAGCTAAAAGTACATATAAGAGACTATGATTAGAACCAAGACAATCAAAATGGTTGCGTCCTTTTTACAGGCGGCTCAACACCTAAAAAGAAGCCGGGCTGGGATTAGGTAACCCCGTAAGTCTGCTTTAGATGATGAGCTTGACATATCTGTTGATCGAGTGATAACTTGGTTAGAACAATTACTCCACTAACAAGTTTAGTCGTCTTTTTATGGACGGCGGCTATATATTCGATTATATCTTCTTTTAGAGAGAAATATGACCTAACATCAAGATCCGGTTGTTATAAGGTTATGTGCTCTTGTGATCGACCTTATGTTGGTGGATCCACCAAAAATTAGTGGAGTACAAAAATGTTTGTAAATGCAGCTGGGTCGAACTGTCAGAACACATGATAATAAGTTAAGGACCATTCAAACTCCTGTCCAGTTTGTATCGTGAGTTACGCTAGCTCTGAATCGCTTTTTTGTTCAGGCAATCTTTGTTGAATGGGACAAGTCTCTCCAGAATAAAACCGGTCAAATAAAAACATAATTTTTATAGCAAACAGATTTGGATCAACTTTCTTTCTAAAAATGGACTAAACCTATAAATAACCAAAAATCAAATCAAAATTATTAAGCATGATGGAATATTAGTTATGGAGAATACTTCAGTTGAACAGAACTCACATAGTCAATGAAAAAATGAACAAAATAACTGTTCAGTAATAGAGAAGAATCAGTGAGAGCCAAAACAAATAGAGAATATCACTAGGTATCCGCATTCCTCCATAGAGATTCATAAGCCAAGGTTAGATTGGTGTTGGAGTATCCTTCATCTACTTTGAAGATGAGAGTGAAAGAGATTAGTAAGTCAGACTCACCGAAGGCTATGGAAGTATTGTGCGAATATATACCCGGCATACGGTCCTGTTAACCTAAAGAATCATTGCTGAGTTTTCGTCCGGCATGTGACGGACATCATCAGAGCGGGACACCATGCCTAATGATAATTCACCAATACACGAAGGCAAGAAAGGTGGCTATCTTTAAACCTACCTACTTCTTATAACCGAATTTGGTCCACTTACTTATGCATCTCACTTTTGGTTAGGCATCATATGCTTTGCGTAAGTTTGCTGAAAAATTAAATGGTTTTCGATTACATGTGAAGTCGATGCAAATTGATAGTTAAATATAGGGACGACAATTTTGCGGTTAGGTAGTATGGCAAATAAAACCTAGAGAATTTCGTTGCTTTGATGAACAGCAAAAATGGAGACGAAATTCAAAATCGAATTAAAAAAGAAAGATAGTTTACATTTTCAATATGTCTTAGTTAGCAGAGGGAACAAGATTATATAGATATGTGTATAGGAAAACAAGCGCAAGTTTCTTTCCGAATTTCTAATACAAACATAAGTACGAGGCTAAAGGATTGATGAAGAATATGATAACGAGTAACGAGCTTTTAGCAGATAGTAATCAACGGAACAAGGAATTGAGAAGGATAAGGATAAATATGATGAGAACAATTATCCAAGGGGACTGATTGACAATTATTTTAGGATATTGTCAAATAGGATGAAGGTAAATACATATTTGACGCTAGATAATAGGTTATACTACTCTAATAGACTCCCTATGCTGCCAACGTGTGAGCTGTCTAATAAGAAAATTTAATTACTGACCATTTAGAAGAAGAAAACAAAACTAGACTCGGTAACGCCTTCTTTTTGAACATATTCTGACCATCTCTCCAGATTGGGCTG